CCTGACAGGAGTGGAAATGAAGGTCTTGACACCCTTGAAACCATTCCCGATGCAGTTCCTGTAGAACTGACTGAACCTCCCATTGAAGATCAACTGGCATGGCACACACTTTGGCCAGAGTCACACAAACTTTATGGGCATGGGAATGAACTATTTTCTCTATGTTGTGATCACAAGGGGAAGCTTGTTGCTTCATCCTGTAAGGTATAATCTCTTCATTTATTTTTCATATATAGAAAATAAGCACTCAGAAAATAACGTCATTTGTTTTTTATCTTGCTTGAACAAAAAATTTATAGTTTTATAGAATTTTTTGTATCTAGTCATGTTGTTACTTTTCCTATCTATTTTTACTTGAAATTTGAGAGAGGAAATGTTTTATTTCTGCTGAATGCGTATAAAGTTCTTGCAATTTATAATTGAATAATGATGTCCCTAAGTACTTTTTGTATTTTCACTAGTTGACTAAGAATGTAGTGACAATTTATAATTTTATTCCTTAATGGCATAACTTCTGATGTATTAATTTACTTGGTAGCATGACTTGAAGTCTGAAATTTGTTACAGCTATTACAGAACATTTGTGAATAAGTCTGAAAAGAAAATTAGTGAATTGGGTTCACAATTATGGTTGTGATCTTGAAGAGTAGAAATTGTCGAGCAAAAGTTTCCTCGCGATGGACATATTTCAACATTTATATTTTTAAGAATTGATTTGCTGCTTAATCATCATAAGAGTTGTGTAGTTCATACTTGAAACTATATAAAATGTACAGGCACAGTCAGCATCAGTAGCAGAAATATGGCTTTGGGAAGTTGGTTCGTGGAAGGCAGTCAGTTGTTTGCAATCTCACAGCTTAACAATAACACAAATGGAGTTTTCCCATGATGACAGTATGCTATTGGCAGTCTCAAGGGATCGTCAGTTTTCTGTTTTTAAAATCAATGGAACAGGTACCTCTGACCTACTTACAATATATAAATATCATACCCTTTTTGTTAATGTTGTGACTTGCGAGTCTCTAATCTCCAGCAAAACAGTCTTGAAGCAAACAACAGTTCGTTGTTTCTGTTTGAGATATTTTGTGGATCATACCAATCAACTCACTTCTTTTAAATTTGAATGTACATGAAATTTTTAGTAGAGATGAAAAACTAATTGCAGGGAAGGAAAAACCCCTAGAATTAGAAAATCGAAAATACCTTTTAGCTTTATGACACGTGTAAGCTAGCCTCTTTGGTGTAAAATTCTTTATGATACCCTCATACTCTGAAATGGTTTAATCCATCACACTATCTCTCTCTCTCTCTCTAGGAAACTAATAGTATGCTAGAAAAGGAGAGATCTAAGAAACTAATAGTATACTAGAAAAGGAGGAAATCACTCATTGCCAAAGGGATTTAGAAAAGGATCCAATTGGCACAAATAAGTGCATATTGTAGTTACCAAAAAAATTGGACAAAGTATACTCCTACACCTAGGAAGCAGGCATAGAATATAACCAGGCAAGGAAAATCATCCAAGGAAGAATTGGAGTATCTGAAAATGCTTGGGTTCCTCTTGTACCAAAGTTTCCAAAATAGAGTGAGAGCGGCATTAGTCCATCCAAGTGTTCTTAGTCTCCCCTTCAAACGAACGTCTCATAGATCTCTTAGAACCACACACTTCCAACTTCCACCTTTTAGAATCCAATCTTAGAAAGATACCCTCTATCTTATTAATCGAACCAATTACAACTAATGGGAAAGGCCATCTGGTGCCTTGTAAGTGCAACCTTTCTGTCTTTCCTCTAATCCGGGGGAATTCTCAAATGCA